TTTATTGCCACTTAGTGATTACTATTTATAAAATCTCAAAGCTGGACATCATCTCCGAATCTACCTGCAATTCCAGATTTTGTATTTTACAATACATTACCGGCATGTCTTGAGGATCATCCACTCCGGTTGTTGGCAGTCCGGGCCAATCCTCGTTCTTATCCTTCCAGTTGTTGAAATTTCTGAAAATGAGCTCCAGGGAAATCAACAACTAGGTTATTTCAGCCCCATCGCAATCCGTTCGCAAATCAATTCATACTTTCACTCATTCTTAAATATATTCCTACTTATTTGCTACTTTTCACACAATTGGAATGGGGTATTCAATATTCCTCCATCACCCTTCACAACTATTATATAAATAACCTAATTGAGGGTCGATAGAGCACTCAATATTCCGCCATCGGCCATTTCACACGCCAATAAATATATTCACTCACACCGCGCTATGGACTCAAAACTATCATTACTGTATTCAATAAAACAACCATATTTTCTAGAAAAAACGGAACAGTGGAACCAGACACTTGCTCAAGCACAATTCTCACATTGGGTGGCATTCCTACGCGCTCTCGGTAAGGAGCCAAGAAATTCCAAAATTCAATTAGGAATTCAATTCATTTCTCAACATCCAACCTTTCCCTTCCGGACACCTACGCGGATACGCTGCTTTTGGCTAAAAATTAAGTGTACGTGTGTCTCGCATGGCCTATTCTTAATCGGCTAGGATGACCCTTCTTGGACTGCTCAGGTTAGGGTCACTTGTCGAATGTGGTCTTGATATGCCTGAGCTTCTTTTCCGATCTGTCCCACCGACTTTGCCACTTTCTTTTAATCATGTTTCTAATGTTTTTTCCGTTAGAGGGCCGGATCGGGGAGGGGCGGAGATTATGTCTCAACAAACACTGTTCCTCCGAGGCGCTCCAGCATCTCCAGCAAAAGCACCAAGAGATGGTGGAACGGTGAACTGTTACGGACAGCAATAACTGCGCTGAGGAAGTCGGCAGACTACGTACTCGCTTGGCCGTAATGCAATGAAATTTAATCTTATATACACTTTTTTTTTTTAAATTTAGAAATCGTGAGATGCGGTCTGGTGTGATGTAGGTTTCAGAAAAACATTTTCTTTATCGTGCCAACGTTTCGATCTTTATTGAGATCATCATCAGGGCCTGGGATTTACAAACATTGGTTACATATAACAAATACATTTAGGATGTGGAAAAGTGAATTTATACAATGCAAAATATATTTTTTACATTCAATCAAAGTATTTGTACTCACTCAAAGTGTTTGTTGTCTTCTGGGTAATTGTTCCATTCTGGCGTGTCGTGTTGAGAGTGCCAGTGAGATTTTGCTATTTTGTGTTTATATACGTTGGATTTTGAAGGGGTGGGGAAGGATGTCGGTATAGAAAAGACAAGACGGCCTTATACAAAAATGTCTTTTCTTCTAGTTCTATTGTACATTGTATAAATTCACTTTTCCACATCCTAAATGTATTTATTTGTTAAATGTAAACAATGTTTGTAAATCCCAGGCCCTGAAGATGATCTCAATAAAGATCGAAACGTTGGCACGATAATGAAAATGTTTTTCTGAAACCTACATCACACCAGACCGCATCTCACGATTTCTAAATAAATATCGATTAACGGTCACTAATCACCACACGCTTATATACACACAAAACATGCATATTATGCGAATCAGGGCTCCACAAAAATTAGGATATCCCAAATATAATATAGGTGCCTGTTTTCCAGGAATAAACCCCCTCAGACTGATGGAAGGCGGTATGATGTCTCAAAAAAATTTTCCCGATTGAAACAAAAAAAATTTTAAACTAGATTATCAGGTATAAGATAGCGATGGACTTAAAAAACAGATATTGTCCTTTTTATTGGTTTTAGTATCGTGAGCATTGGATAAAATAAAGAGGAATTTTGATTGCTTTGAACAACGGACATTAAAATAAAAATAAAAATGTCACCAGTTGACAAGCCCAAAAACGTATTGTCTTTGGTATAAAATTATGTATTAAAGAATGCTTAAAATGAATAGGAATACATTTTTCAAAAATATTTTTGTTTCACTTCACTGGAAGCTTTTTTCGTATTTGTAACATTTTATAACTTAATGTTATTTAATTCGATTCCGAACGTTCACTCTTGCAATTATATGCACAACAAACATCTAAAAAATACGTAAATTATTTGCGGTTTTTTAAATCGCCTTCTAGGGATGCGATTTAAAAAACACTTAAAAAACACACCAGGTGCAAGAACACTCGGTCACAGTCTAATATTTTCCGACCTATTGGGGTAGTGAAAAAATAATGCAGAAATAGCAGTCAAGACTGTTTTTAATTTTTATAAAATAAAGAAAATTGATTCGAAATTTTTTCGTGTAATAAGTGAATTTATTCCGCCACATAAAAATCTTTATTTCGACTCACAAGAATGTCTTGGAAGGCGTTTTCGGCTTCACCGCCTTCTCAAAAATTGCGTCTTTCAAGAAGTGATCAAAATGCCTAAAAAATGTTCGAATCTTTATGCGAGAGGTGGCGTGAAAGTAGAGGGTGGGGAAAGTTTCGTATCCTTAGTCCTTAACTTGATGCCAAACTTTCGTTTAATTTGTAGCATAATTTAATTTGTACACATCATCATCTTTGTATGTCATCATATGTAGATGTTTATAAATCCTTGATAATAAATAAATAACATACAAAAACGACAAAATATCAAAAATATTAAAAACAATAATAGATAAATTAGTTTTTAACAATGTGGTTAATTTAATATATAAAATAAAATATAGACACGTTTTATTAATTAAATATTGTTTTTAGTATTTTGATAATTTAATTGTTGTTTTTAAATGGTATTTACGAATTATCAAGGATTTATAAACATCTACATATCCACCTGATAAAGAAATTGTAACCTTACTCAGCTCTAAGATAGAAATGATGAATGATGGAGTGAGTGTGGAGTTCAATCTTTTTTTTTTTTTTTTTTTAAAGATAGTTCCTACTCACAGTAAGTTGTTTTGCAACGGTACGGATTTCGAGCCCTTTAGCTCATCTTCAGGTTGAAGGATTTCTACAACTCCAAGGAAATCCTTTCTACAACTTACTGTGAGTAGGAACTATCTTTAAAAAAAAGACACCTCTAAGATGTTTAATATTGAAAGATTGGCAGTAATTTGGGAGTTTCAATGTTTCTGTGATCTAATACCTGATTATCACACATAAAACTCTATACAAGGTCCATCTACTTTTTCATAAAATCTAAGTCCTTAAGTTTCCGCAGGGTTGGCATTGCGACATGTGGCCTGGTGTTATCGTGAAAAAGAATCAGCCCCTTATGGTTTACCAATGCTGATCAAAGACGTTGCAGTTTGCCAATTTCTTGCCAATATTTCATTGCTGTGATAGTTTCACCATAATTCAGGAAATTATAGTGAACTATCCACCAGTCACCATAAACATTTTTGGGTGCAGATTTGGTTTCAGGAAATGTTTTGACGCTTCATCCTTGTCCAGCCACTGACCTGTATGTCTCCTGTTATCGTACAGAATCTATTTCTCATCGCACGTGATGATTCGATCGAGAAATGGATCATTTCGGCGGCGGAACAAGAAGAGACGTGCAAATTTCAGAGTCGATTTCTTTGGGTTTCGGTAGGTTCGTGACATATCCAATTGTCGAGCTCCTTCACTTTACCAATTTGCTCCAGGTGGCGAACAATGCTTGAGTGGTCAACACTAATCTCTTCCGTTATATCCCATGTTGTCTTATGTGAATTTTCTTCAATCAACTTTAATCTTAAATCGTACAACGGAAGGCCGACGTAAGATCGACATCTCCAAGACGAATTCCCTGAACCATCGTTTCACCGTGCTCCCCTCTCCCTAAACTGTATTGATGTCAGGCGCGGTTAGTGCTTACTTCGCTCGTGTTTAAATGCGTAGAAATAAATTTAACGTAAATCTAGTTTAGATATATTTAATTTTTCAGATCCTCACGCTTATAAAATCAATATGCACTAAAGTAGTGAAGTGATACTTCTTTTACTTATTAAATATTAATCCATTTTACTTTTTGTGGTCAATTGACGAAGTTACTTCTTTCAATTAATTATTCTTTTTATGTAAGGTCTTGGTTGAGAAATGGCAAAAAGAGGGAAAATTCGAACGGTTGCAGGTTGAGATGGAGAGGTGGAGTCTGAGAGGATCGAAGTCATGATAGCTCAAGTGGTAGACCAGCAGCATATTTAGCCGAAGGTCATGGGTTCGAATCCCGTTCGTGACACTGACTTTTTTATCTCAACCAAGACCTTACATAGAAAGAATAACTAATTGAAAGAATAAACTACAATGTTTTGTGAAAGATAACAGTTGAGATTTGAGGGCTTAACTTTGTTTACATGACAAGCACGAAAATAAAACAAATTTTCAAAACCAATAGCGTCACCAAAAAGTTTTAACAAAATCGCTGATTTTGCCGCCCCTTGTTAATGGAACCAGATAAGCACATACTGAGTGTGTTTACTCAAAAACCACTAAAATTGAAATACAGGGCATACAGTGGAACAGGGGGGAATTGTGATTAATAAGTTAATTACCTGGGCGGAGTGGTTAATTAAGCCTTCTCCACCCCGGTCTCCGCTGTCTAGCCCATAATAAATTAGATTCAATTACGGTTTTAAGTTGTTTTTTTCTCTTGAGAGAAATATTACTAACAAAACAATATAGATTTTATATTCGTATCAATTAATTTTTAAAAAAAGTGCATAGTAACGTTCAGCAAAAAGCCTGGTAATCTGTTATTTATTTTCCACGTTAACAGTTTGTGTATTTGTATGCAACATTTTTAGGCCAATATGAGTCAGAAATAATTATATGAATTTGTATATAATTATACATTTGATAATATCTTCTTATTTGCCCGAATTGATGGAAAAAAATGTGATTTTTGTTATGCCATTTCACTTACCGAGAAAAGATATCCGATGACTAGGTCGGCGTCTTCTGGTATGTCCAGTGAGTTTTTCTTCAGTATGTCCGTGCTCACCCACCTGCAGTCAAAGTAGCTTCTCACCGAACTGTCATCCTGAATGCTGGAACATAAAAAAGGGAAACTTTTACTAGGCGAAACAAAGACTGGCGCAATAATTTTTTTTCAAGGTTTTACCGCCTGCCCTCCCTCTACCAGCCAACGCGATTCTGTTTCCGTTTTACTGCCGGGCTCTTTCCAGGAGGAGATACGGCCTGCCGGTCTGTAGTTTTACAAGGGCTGTTTATGTAAACTGTTTCGGAGACAATGCAGCCTGGATTGAGCCTGTTTAACGGCGGGGGATTCGCCCTGGAGTTTACAGGGTGCTTCGTTTTAACAGCCATAAGGGGGAAAAAAGGTGCGGGACAAGCCAGAGGTAATTTCTCATCATAAAAATTGTTGACAAATCGGTTATTTTAAGCCTGCAGTTAAAATGAAAGCAATAGAACTTTCATATGTATTTGAAAAAGTTATTGGAGTTTATGCTCCCTCGCTCCCTCATTACTGCACCAGCTACCTAAACGAAATGTTTCTGATGTAAATCCGCGAGGGTTCTCTTGACACGATGTATTTCCGCGCATGCAGGTTCTCTTCTCGATCCTCCGGGTACGAGAAATACATATACAGATTATACATCCTCTCCATGTTTCTTACATTCTGCTACATTAGAACGCGCCCTCTGCGGTATGTGCAGGGTGGTCCGGTCGGCAAAATTGAGAGAGTAGTTCATTGTCATATGGAGGAAACTAGGATCCTGGGACAATGGTTCATATGCCTTCCACTCATTGGAGATGATGACAGACCCAGCAGCTATCCGATCCCGAATTATGGGGATGAGAGTGGCGGCTGATCAGTCCGTAACGGCAACTAGAAAACTTTCTCTCGTTTGGCGGCCAAATTCCACCAAAAACCACTGATATGGTATGTATTTTCTTTGGTGATTGATCAATCAGCCTTCTCAGTTTAAATATTTTTCTTTCCAAAAGGTAGATTGGGCCTCATCCTCTCATCATAGCTGCTGGATCTGTCATCATCTCCAATCAGTGGAAGGCATATGAACCATTGTTCCAGGATCCTAGTTTCCTCCATATGACAATGAACCACTCTCTCAATTTTGCCGACCGGACCACCCTGCACATACGCAGTCCATTGAAAGTGTACGGGGAAAAGCAATGGCGAGGAACAAATGACAGTGGGGTACCCGCCGAAGTTCATTGGTCTCCTATCTATGCGAATTTATGTGGCGGCAGTCATGGACGGCAAGAAATTTTCGAAGACATCCTTAGTGAAATAGCTGAATTTTGTCCCCCAAGGACTCAAATGTGAATTCCTTTATTACCAATTTATACTCTTAATTATCATTACACGAATTACCAAGAATAAAATGTTTCTGGATTTATGATTACCTTTAAAGGTGCATTTCCTTAATTGACCGGAGATCTTGGGGGTCGAGTGGGGCGGAAGCACATAACGGAAAAGTTCCTAATTATCTCCTAATATACCACTATAATTCTGTCACCATAACATTTCAAGCAGTTCATTTCGCGATCATACAGAACTAAAGTATCTGTCCATAGTGACAATTCTACCAATTTGGTGCCATGTCATTAGTTCGGTAGTTTGATGGACAACACCTTAACGATTTTCTCAATTTTTTAAGTTTTCTCACATATAACTCCACAATCAACGTATAAAAGAATGAGCGTATTATCGCTCAAATGATGAAGCTATATTACCCCTAATTGCCTGAATTTGAATCGTCCAAGGTTTGACCAACTGTAACATATACACATATCTGATACCAGGGCTGACACATGACTTCTAAGACGTCGCCTGTCTTTCGAATCAGACCAAGATTATCAGTAGCCTGTCAGTTGTTCTGCCTCCATAATTATCAAATATAAACATAATAGGTGCTCTCAAATAATCTATCCCAGTGACATCTACCGCCCTAAGTTCGTTTATATTTCGGTAATGGCATTTTTCACCTCTGATATAAACCAGAAATCTAATAACGTAAGAATTTAGTCAATTAGTTGCAACACGATCTCTTTCCGGAGATTTTTTTCCTGCGCTTTCCGTAAATGGTTATGCAAGGCACAATGGTCTTGCTACCTTTCGAATTTTCTCTCCTTTTTGCCATTTTTCAATAGGTTAATAGTAGGTTGAGAAGGGAAGTTGGTGTCCGAGTGGATCGAAGTCACGATATCTCAAGTGGTAGAGCAGCGGCGTATTTAGCCGAAGGTCGTGGGTTCGAATCCCGCTCGTGACAATGATTTTTCATTTCAACCAAGACCTTACATAAAGATTAATTAATTGAAAGAAGTTATTTTTAAAGAAGTTAAGAAAAAAAATATTGGTGTATTGTGTTGTATACCAGTTGTCAAAGAGTTCAGTGTTAAATGAAAATGAACTTTCTGGCACTACGACGCTGTCAAAATTGTAGTGCAGTAGTGCAGTCTTTTCATGAAAAATGTTATGACGTCTGCTTCCGTGCTATTTTCCGTTCATAACTTCCGGATTGTCGGTGAAGAGGTTAAGTAGTTGTGACCAAAGCGGATCGGGATACTGTTTGCGACGAACTTATCTAAAAAAAATCCCTCGGAGATTGCTTTTCGCCGAGGTGCCCAACCTGACCCAGAAAACCCACCGCCAATAAATCAAATGTTATACCCTGCGTGGAGGTGGGCGCGAAAAATCCTCTCCCCTACGCCGGGACCTTTTCGATTTTCACCTTTTTTTTATGAAATGCCTCGACGGAATTTTAATGATTCGGTGTTACCAAAAGGAAGCGCCTCGGTGGAGTTGGCTAAAAAAATTCGGTCGAATTTGCATTTTCAGCTGTCCATTCTACGATTGCTTTCCTTAGAGTCGCTTTTGCTAATTTAAACTTACTTTTATACCCGACACTTGCCTTTTAAACAGACTAGGTTAAAAGGAAGTAACAACATAATGGTCTCTCAGAAAGAAAGGATCTATTACTTTGATCCATTTTTTACACGTTTTACAGCAAGAAAATTAGTCTGTTTAGTGATGGACTAATAATGAAGCACAATAGCCTTAAACGACTTATACTAAAATAATGGAGTTCCACAAACTAATGTAAGTTTAATATAAGCAAAAGTTTTCAAGTAGCAATTAAAAAAATATATATCGAACTTTTATCAGTTCATGAAGTTTAGACGTGACTGTATTTTTCCTCCAAATTGTACTTTCCAATACATTTTTTTCTAAAAGGGGTGCACATTTTTTCGCTTTTCAAATTCGATTCAATTTGTGATAGATTTTGTCCGTCTGCGGTGACGTCGTCGCCCTTTTCCTTCTTGTTTAGAATATTTGTTTGAAAAAGGTAACATTATTTGAACTTTTGCATTACGGATAGAGCTCATTTTTCTAGTAGTATCGAAGTTTGTTGTAACCTCTGTTGAAATTAAAAATAATCATCAAAGTATACCATACAACATAATAACAATCTGCATGTATCTATTACTTTATTAATATTAACACAACCATTATTTTCATTTAATTTTTCTTTTTAAGCCAGACAAAAAATATTGAATTACAATTATTTTAAAAATGTGTAAAATTAGAGACCATTAAGTTAAGAACCATGGTGTGAGTAGAAATACTTTGATTAAACCTAAAATTTCTATGTTGTGTACATCATTGTATAAATTCGTAGTCATATCTCGTATGTATGTGTATAATTTAAACAATATTTATAAATCCCAGGCCCTGAAGGTGATCTCAATAAAGATCGAAACGTTTGCACGATAAAAAAAAATGTTTTTCTATACTTGCATCACACCAGACCGCATCTCACAATCTCTAAATAATAATTATTCTAAAAGTTCTAAAGGATTTTTCAGTCTAATTACTGTGTATGATTTTATATCTTCTTGTCCTTTTTGGTAAAATGAGATTTCGACAATATAAATAAATATAAATTATTCGAAAAATTAATTTATTAAATTAATAAAGATTATGAGAGAGAGAGAGAGAGAGAGAGAGAGAGAGAGAGAGAGTGAGAGAAAGAGAGAGAGAATGAGAGGGAGAATGGGTAAGAGTGAGAGGGAAAGAGAATGAGAGTTAGATTGGAGAGAGAAATTGAGAGACAGATTGAGGGAAAGAGTGAGATTGAGTTGAGAGAGTGAAAGTTAGATTGAGAGAGAGGGAGAGTGAGAAAGATAATGGGTAAGAGTGAGATGGAAAGAGAATGAGAATTAGATTAGAGAGATAAATCGAGAGTCAGATAGAAAGAGTGAGACTGAGTTGAGACAGAGAGTGAGAGAGAGAGAGAGAGTGGGTGAGAGTGAGAGTGAGTTTGAGATTGAAAGACAGAGTGAGAGAGAATGTGGGTAATAGTGAGAGAGAGTAAGAGGAAGTGGGTGAGAGAGAGAGAGAGAAGGAGAGAGAATGAGAGTTAGATTAGTGAGAGAAATTGAGATTCAGATTGAGAAAAAGAATGAGATTGAGTTGAGAGAGAGAGTGAGAGAGAGAGTGGGTGAGAGTGAGAGTGAGCGTTCGAATGAGAGGGAGTGTGAGTTTGAGATTGAAAGAGAGAGTGAGAGAGAATGTGGGTGAGAGAGAGAGTGAGAGTGAGAGTTAGAATGAGAGGGAGTGTGAGTTTAGATTGAAAGAGAGAGTGAGAGAGAAAGTGGGTGAGAGTGAGAGTGAGAGTTAGAATTAGAGGGAGTGTGAGTTTGAGATTGAAAGAGAGAGTGAGAGGGAGACAGAATGAGAGTTAGATTGAGTGAGAGAGGGAGAGAGAATGAGAGTTAGATTAATGAGAGAAATTGAGAGTCAGATTGAGAGAAATAGAGAGATTGAGTTGAGAGAGAGGGAAAGAGTGAGAGGGGAGTGAGTGAGAGTTAGATTGAGAGAGAGAGAGAGAGAGAGAAAGAGTGAGAGAGAGATTGAGTTGAGAGAGAGAGACAGTGAGTGAGAGTAGGGAGAGAAGTAGAAATTATAGACTTCTGAAAGAAAACATCCGTCAGTATCTCCTGAAATGAGGGAATTTTTGAGGTTGATTTTTTCCCTCATTTTGATAGTTCTTTCCATTCT